GGGCCAGGGAGATAGCTCAGTAGGATAAGCACTTGCCTGGCAAGTGCAAGGACTTGAATTCAATCCCCGGTTCTGCCAAAAAAAACCACAGCCAAGCTCTCTAGTTCTGCTGAGAATGAGCAAGTGCACTCCTGCCCTGCCTAAGTTCTTGGGGGTCTGGGGAAGCAAACCAGGGAGGGGGTGATCTGAAGATTGCTGAGGCTCATCTCAGTGTGTGCCCCCACCAGTGTCATCCTGCTTCTACAAGACTTGCAAGCATTCCAGAGCCTGTAGGTCGTGCTGTAACTGGAACCTGCGAAGTGTGCGGGAGGTTGCTTAGGGATCTGTTCCTTTGGTGGACTATGATGAGCAAACGGGTGGGGTCAGTAGCACAGGTGCCCCCAGGCCGGGCCTTTTGGTGGTGTCATATCTGCAGGCCTCCTTGAACCCTCCTGAGCCACCGGAGGAGGCCCAGCCAGGCAAGGATGGCACCCAGACAGTGTCCCTCAGCTCCTAGGAGATACAAAGTCCTTGTTACTGGAGTGTTCTTCTTGTGTGTTCATAACTGAAAGTCCATGAGCAGAATTCCCAGACTTGCACTGATAAGTATTGGGCCCCATGCTGGATACAGAATAGACTGAGAAAGTTCTTCCTGAGAAACATGTTGGCAAAGCATGGGTATCTTGTTTATAGTTCTGTTCTGAAGTTTCTGGATTTTGTTTCTCTGGGCTTTTGTTCTCAGAGCAGAGCTCAAAGTTCAGATCTCTGACTCTGCTTTTCACAATGCCCCAGGAGTTACTACTGGTTTAGGAAACTACTCAGCTAAGTAAACCACAATCTGGCCTGTTTCCAAAATGTAGCATTGTACAGCACAGTTTGCTTTTAAAGTAAAATTCAAAATCAGACTTGACTTTTTAATTTTTGAGACAAGGTCTTACTATGTAGCCCAGGCTGGCCTGGAACACCCAGAGATCCTCCTGCCTCAGTGTCCTCAGTGCTGGGCTTACAGATGTGCACCACCATGACTGGCAGTCCAGAGTTGAATTTTTAAAAGTTGTTTTTTTTTTTTGTTTGTTTGTTTTTTCAGATTCTTTCTCTTCTCTGTTGATTTTCGATGTAGCTTTATTTTCTATTTCACTAATTTTTGTTCTTATTCTCTTCATTTCCTTTGGGTTCTTTGTATTTCTGTTTAGTTGGTTTCCCTTAAACTAGGTGAAATATAAAGTAAACACTATAAATTTCAAAATGATACAATGCCATAGAATGCTTAATTCTAAAAATGCCATGGTGCTATACAGCATTTTTGCTCTCTAGCTTACAAGTGTTTTTTGTGGGTTTTTTTTTGTTGTTGTTGTTCGTTTGTTTTTTGTTTTTGTCTTTTTGAGACAGGGTCTCACTATGCAGTTCAGGCTGGCCTTGAACTCACTTTGTAGCCTAGGCCAGCCTTGAACTCACAGTAATCCTCCTGCCTCAGCCCTACAAGTACTAGGATTACAGGCACGCACCACCAAACCCAGCTGCTAGCTTACAAGTTTTGGTAATTCTTACTATTAGGAAGTTCCCATGATTTCTTTGTAGCAGAATTAATAGTGCGATTCCCAGTTGTTGGAGATTTCTGTTTCTTATGTTACTGACTTTAACCTGGAGTCATCTCATAAATGGTGGCTTGGGGCCAGTGGTGAAGGCTGCTTCACAACCTCTGTTGTTGAGTCAGGCAGATCACAGGCCCCTGGGAAGTTTTTAGATGTAGTTATAATCAATATTTTTTGCTTTACCTTTTCCATACATTATTTTTGCTATTAATAATTAAGAATGGAGTATTGAGTTTCATGGTGGTGGACTTGGCAATTACTTGCTGCAGTTCATGACTTGGGCCATTTTATCAGGCATGAATAAGATCTCTACTTCTGAGGCTGACACTGATACACCGCACTCAAGCCTTTTGTGTGCCCCCCACCCCCACCCCCACCCCCCGCCCATCTGCTTTCCTGTGCACTGCCGCTGGGTCACGTCTTTCCTTGGCCCTCTGTGTTTTGTTTTCTGTACAGCTTTAGGTTGCCAGGTGCTTGGGCATGGGACCCTCCCGCACCAGCCGCCTTCTGTTGGGCTTACAGCCGTGCATCCTGGGCCTCATTTCCCTGATCTGTATTACGGTTTTGTCCTCCTCTGTTGCTTGTTCTTTCTTGCTCGCTCTTTGAGTTCTTTTTCCGTTGTGTTACCACTAGTTTGGAAGTTGTGTACTTTTCCATTGTTTTATGTGTGCCCCTTGCAGTTTTACCCAGCACCCCTAATCATAGGTCACATTACGTCTTCTAAGGCGTGCCAGTGGCAGCTCTGAGAATCCTCAGGGCTGGGCATCATTCTCCATGCCCCTCTTAGTGGGGTGGTGCCAGCATGAATGGAGGGCTCTGTCCTTTTTCTCAGTCCCACTTCTGCAGCACAGACTGATTTCTCTGCAGTTTGCCGTTGTAACTTAAAGCCTGTTTTGGGATTTGTTTTTAATTCTACCTGAAGTAAATGTGTAGGAATATTTTTGATGCCTAGTAGCATGCAGTCACACCATATTTTGTTTTCCATTTTTGAATATGACCACGGAAATAAGCCACTCATTTTTCTGATTTTATTGGCGTGCTGCGTATTTCAGACAGGAGAAGTGTGACCCAGTGCGGCAGTGGGTCCACTGGGCTGTTTGTTGTGGAAAGCTTGAAAAGTTTGCCGTCCTTCGTCCAGCCTGTGCGTCTCCAGATGTGGGGTTGCTGCTACAGGCTGTCTGCACTTCATGATGCAGCTTGGGTTCTGTTACCATTTCCCAGCCTTGGTGTTAAACACAGCTGAGCCTGGCATGCAGCTGCATGTAGGAAAGGAGCTCAAGGCTCGCTGAGTGGTGAGGCTGGCCTCGAGCTCTTGGGCCCCGTTGATCTCTGGCCTCAATCTCCCGAGTTGCTGGGAGCACAGGTCGCCACTTGCACATCTGAGTCTGTTCTTTTTTCTAAGGAAAATAAATCCACCCCAGATCTAAACAACCTTTTCAGCTGTCTGTGTTGCTCATGTTTTAATGGGAAACCTCTAGATGTGATGACATGCTGAGTAGGAATAGTGGCCCTAGGGACCCTTTGGCTTGCCAGGAGGCACTTTAGAGCAGCCGAGCCTTGCCCTAGCCACTTCCTGCCCCAGATGTGCCTTAAGCATCTGTAGTGTTGTCAGCTGATAATTGACCTTGTGTGGGAGTGGTTGGGCTTGATCACTGTAAGCAGAGTCTTCTGTGGCGGAAGCATCCTTGCAGAGCTCCAGAAGGAGACCTGGCCGCACTGAGACTGCCTACTTGAGAGGCCAAGCACCAGCGGGTGTGTGGGCCTTCTTAGACTGCAGTGACTGCGGCAGCAGTTGACATGCTGAGACTCTTAGGGTACACTCATGGTGCCCAAGTCATAGGTGGAAGTAGGAACAGTGTGTATGTCACATGCCTCACTGTGACCTCTGTGGGACACATCCTTTATATTAGTCATTTTCTTGTTGCCATGACAAATACCCACCAGTCAAAAGTTGGAGAAAGAATGGTTTATTTTGGTTCCTGGTTTCCATGGGTTCTGTCCATGGTGAGCCAGGGTGTGACGAGGACAGTTGCTATGTGGCCCCAGGAAATGGGAGGAAGGGAGCAGGCAACAAGAACACACCCTTCCAAGGCATAGTCCCAAGGGGAGGGACAGGCTTTTCAGCAACAAGCAGCTGACCTTGGCACACATGCCAGAGGCCTGCCCCACTGGTCCAGACCAGAATGTTAAGACTGGCAGAGTCTCCATGATCTAAAGTGTTCATTGTTGGGAGGAGACTCCTGGGAGTGTGAGTTGCAGCCCTGCGAAAACCACAGATGCAGGGACCTGGGTGGAGAGGGAGGATGTGCCCAGGGAAAGTGCCTGACAACTGCACCTTTTTTCTCAAAATCACCCAAGACAGATGGAGTGGAACAACGCAAGGGAGATGTTGAAGATGGGGCAAGGTTTGACAGTACAGAAAGTGAATAAATATTAAACGTGGATAGAATGTTGAAAATTTGTACCAAAGTTACATGATGTCAATTTATCAGTTCCTAGATAAATGATTTTCTAAGAGCAACTGGTTTGACATTTGTGGGTTTGCCATTCCTGCCTTTGATGATTCCTAGGTAGCCGGGAGGAGTGAGGTGTGCATACGAAAGCCCACCGTGGGCAGGAGCCTCACCGGCACCCCGTACGCACAGCATGCACGGCAGCACTGCTTCTTTGCTGGTCTGTCTCTTGGTGCTGCGTGCAGTGTAAACGCTGCTTCCCTGAAATGCAGCCTTTTGAAGGATATATACTAAATCAGGACTTGGGTTGGAGATAAATACATGGCTGAAGACACTGGAGATTTTGTCCAAAAAAAAAAGATTTTGATACATTAAAGAATGGCATCTTTGACATAAACAGTTTGTAATCTTAAACATGGAAGAAAGTCATGCTGTAAAATACCTAGATGTGAGGTTTGATGAAGATGTTTGCCTCCTTTACAAGTATTGAGATATTTTGTGTTAATTTAGCCCAGAAAATATGCTGGTAGGTAAGCTGCTATTAATTTGCAGCAAAGAATGTAAGGAACTTCAAAATAAACATAATTTTGGATAAATAGAAAATTAGAAAAATCTTTTAGATTTGAGCAGATAATTTTCTAAATATAGTCAAAGAACTGAAGAGTTCCATAGAAGGTGACTAACTATAAATGTGTTCTACATGATTGGAAGGTAACGGCAAGACTTTGGAGCTGAGCTGTCTTGGTATTTTTATCCAGTGTGTGGGGTGTTACACTTGCATCACAGCTATAATCGAGCTCTCACATGGAACGGTTGAAAAGCAAGCCCAAGGCATCTTAAGGGCTCCTGTGCCTGATTTTTAGAAGCTGTGTCCCCTGCTGTGCACAACGCAAGTCAGAGTCCAGATACTAAAAGGTGAATTACTTTAAAAACCTTGTGTTATAATAGAGAATTAATTTCTTTAAAACTATTTCAGGAAATGGAAGATAAAGTGACCAGCCCAGAAAAAGCCGAAGAAGCAAAGCTAAAAGCAAGGTATCCTCACCTGGGACAGAAGCCCGGAGGTTCCGATTTTTTAAGGAAACGATTGCAGAAAGGGGTAAGTTGTTGTAGGTGACCTAGTTTAGTGTGCTAGCAGAGGTAGTAGAAGGGTGTCTGCTTGTTTAGTTCTCTGCTTACCGTGTGTGTGTTATATTTTCTTTAGTATCTTACACTCTTCATATCATAAGTATGGAAAGAATCTAGAACTCTCATGTTTGAAGTTACAAATTATTTCAAGCATGTACATAGTGCAGATAACCACAGAACCTGTGTTCTCACCACGTAGATCTGTTAATATTTTACCATGTTTACTTCAGCTTCATGTTTGTAAGAAAAACAAATGTGCATAGAATGAAACTTATCTTGTATTTGACTTACGTCCCCCTTCCTCTCTCCAAAAGCGGCTGCTGTTGAGAAGCTAATGTTTAGCTTGCTGGCCATAGTTTTCAACGTTTTCCTATTTAAAGGTGATCACCGCAACATCCAAAGACTGAACATATTTTTTATTTGGATGAAATAGTGATGTATAAACTCCCTATGATAACTGTTATCATTATGTATTACTAAAATGTGTCAATAAAATTAAATTTTTAAAACATAAGAAAGGAAAGAAATAATCATCTATAAAAACTCAGCTTATCTTCTTTAGTAGGTTTTATAAATTCACTCCAGCAACACTAATATTGCAATTTAGTAGGGTAAATTACTAAACACTTTTCTTTTCCAAAACCTTTTCTTTTGACCAGTTAGAAGTCATTATTTCTCAGTGAAATGTGATGATGCTACTTTTCTGTTTCCTTTATTCTGTTATTTAAAAATAATGAAAAAATTCCCTCATCAGCTTAAGCACATTTGAATTACCAGGTAGTGATCAGGTAAAGGTGAAATTATTATATTTGGGAGAATAAGATTCAATATCAGGTTCTTCTTTAAAAAATACCTAAACATGCAAGAGTCTACTGCTTGCATACAAAGAACATGTCTTGTGCAGTGGGGGAGGACATGATCACATGGATTGTTTTCCCAAATTAAGTTTCAGATAATGTTTTAACAAACTGGGCCAGGGATATGGCTCAGCAACATAAACACCTGCCTGGCAAGAGCAAGTCCTGAGTTCAATCCCTATTACCACCAAAAAAAAAAAAAAAAATTAAAAGTCAAAAGATGAAATAATATTTTATACTCTTGCTTGAAATAAGAATATTCACAACATTGGAATATTGGGTAAGGGGACATCCTACAATCCTGAATATGTAAAATTGCAAAGCCTCTGCACATGAAATATCCAGGGAGGAAATCATTACTGAAAAGCAAGAACCTTTTTTTTTTTTTTTTTGTGGTGGTGGTGGTGATGGCAGTGATTGAACTCAGGGACTTGTGCCTGCAAGGCAAGAACGCTGCCACTGAGCCACATCCCCAGCCCAAGCAGAAGCATATACATATGTAGCCCTTGGGGAATGTGGATATCTTTTCATCTTAGTACATTCATCTCAACACCATGATCTTTTACCTCTGTAATTAATAGCTCCGCCATTCCCCATTCAGGCCCTTGCACTTGCCAGGCAAGCGCTTATTCAACTGAGCTATGAGCTACCTCTCTAGCCCCTTTAAATATATTAAAAAAAAAAAAAAAACCACGAAAAGGAGAAAGAAGAAAAAGTGTTTATCCTTAATAGAAATCAGTGAAATATAAATTATATCATACATACAACTAAATTATGAAAATATTTAAACAGTATTTCCTGGGTATGGTTTAAATTGAATGAAACTGATATGCTCTTTATTTTGTGCAAACATTGGGGATCATTAGTCTTATTTTGGAAAGCAGAATTAAAATTTATTAAAACACATTCCTTGAATGAATAATCTTATGGATTAATGTAAGGATATAATTCAGTCTTCAAGTTGAAGCTTTTTCCTTGTAGCTTCAACTATAATTAGAGGTCTCTTTAGTACTCAACAGCAGAGATATGGTTAAGTCAACTGTATAAACCCACAAACGTGGACTACCATGTGGTTCTTTAAAACCTTGATTATGAAGACCCTCATACAGGGATCAGTGGAAAAAACAGTGAGAGCTGTTCATGTGGAGTCTTTCTATGTGGACAGTGCATGACCAAGTCCAGTTGAAAGCCTCCTGTGGGTGTGTTTTAGTTGTGAGCTATATCAGGTGTAAATTGCTCTGCAGACCTGTCACCATTAGTGTTGAGGGATTGTCCGTCTGCAGACTGAATGTGTCAGGCAGGTTCTTTCCAGGGTCAGGGCTGTCGTCCTTGTTTTCTTCCAGCTCCAACTATCTGTGGCTTTGTCTTCACATCAGAGTCTGCCTGCATTGTGTCCTGGGGTTGGTTCTCTAGTTGCAAATCATTGAAAATGAAGGAAAGGCAGTTGGATCAGATAATTACATACAGAATTTGAGAAGTAGCTCTTGAATGATTTGATTCTGTATTGTGCCAGACTGTGACCAAGTACTTTGTGTGTGCATGCTGGGAACATGAAGCTGTGGCCGGTTTGTTTGTACATCCGAGTCACAGTGCTCTGGGTTTTGGTTTTCCTGTCACAGTAGTAATAAGCAGGCTTGCTGAGGCAATGTCTTTCAGTAGTTTCTTCATCATGCTGAGGACTAGATGGGACATTTTTAGGTTTCTTGGTGTCACTGTCCTCCATGGTGTGACAGGGTTAATGTTATGTAATGTCATCATTAGGCTCTCACGGCAAGCCATGAGCACCATGACCTTGGAGACTCAGTGTAGGAGAGATGTGCAGAGCAGCCTGGCCATGTTTTTCTGTATTTTTGGAGTTTGTAAAGCCCCATGCTTTGACTGTCTATGGACCCCAATATGAGAAAATAGCCAGTTCACCTCGACTTAAAGCATGTTTGTTATTAACAAAGTGATATTTTAACTGCCTAGTTTTTGTTTTGTTTTGTTTTTGTTTCAGCAGACACTTAAACACCTGAGCTAATGGGCAGGCCCCCTTGTTTTGTTTTTTAACAAGAAAGCATAACTTCTTTCTCTGACATCCTTGCCCTGGTAGTCTTTGCTGATCTCTGAGGATTCAGTCTTCTCTTGTAGTGTTCTTTCAGATTTGCACTAACTGTCAAGCACTGATTTTAGTTTTATCTCTAGCTGCACAATAAATTTATTTCTTCAAGCAAAATAGCCTAATCTTCAGTTAAGTGATAGCCTCTTCTAATGAACTTGTACTTAATATAAAATAGCTGTCATTAGGACCCGAGTTTGTTACATTGGGAAGACCTACATAAAATTGCATGGTGCATGCAAGCTCTCTTTGGACTTTGGTGAGAAGTTACCCAGGCTGTTTTCTTTTCCTTAGGCTGCTGAAGTCAGAAGCAGCTGTTAGTATACTAAAAGTGCAGAGTGCATCAGAGTTCTGAGAGGTTTTTTTCCTATACTCATTTAAAAATACTGAACAGAAACGAAGCTGGAGTGAGCCTAGACCGACCCGGCCAGGGTTTCCTTTTTACTGCTCCAGAGGGCCTATGGGTGACTCCTAGAAAGCACTTTGTAGCTTTAGCTGCTTTGGCTGGAGATCAAATGGGGTTCATCAAAAAATAGTCTGGTGAAGGGGCAGACGATAAGGCCCTGCCTGGACCACCCGACAGCTTACCTGTGCTGCAAGTTCCTGGCTCCTTTGTCTCCTGCTACCTAAGCAGCCCTGAAGAGAGACTCTCAACGGCTGCCATTCCTTCTGTGCTGTTGTTGCCTTTGCCAAGCCAGGCTGGGGCTCAGTCCCCTCAGCAGGGCACCCCAGCACCTCTTTTTTTTTTTTTTAACTCTTTATTGTATAATTGACAATATATAAGGCCTACAACATCATGTTTTGAGATACACATTGTGAAGTTGCTGCAATTGAGCTAATAAACATACCCATCACTTTACATACATACTTGTAAGTCTTAATTTGTGCAACTTAAAACATTTTACTCAAAATAAAAAATAGAAAAGAAAAAAAAACATTTTATAATGGCACAATTTTTAAAAATTTTTTAAAAACTATTGAAGAAAGAAAAATGTGTTCATCATCTCAGTCCCAGAGACAAAGTAAAGCAATTAATTGAACACCATTCTAGACAATTTCTAGATAACTCTGCACATAGTACACTTTTTAAAAAATTGGTAATGTCATATGTACTGATTTGTGACCTGCTGTTTCACGTAACAGAGGGTAGTGGATATCTTTTCATCTTAATACATTCATCTCCACACCGTGATCTTTTACCTCGGTAATTAATAGCTCTGCCATTCCTCAAAGCCCTCCCACACTGTCCTTTTCCTTCCTCCCTTTTGCCTAGTGCTAGCCTGCTTCCTACTCTCAGGCCATCTTTTGTAGATTCCACATATTAGGGGAAACATGCAAAATCTGTGCACGCAGCTTACTTCACTTAGCGCGAGGTTCAGCAGTTCCATCTGTTTTCCTGTAGGTGGCATAATTCCATTTTTCTTCACTGTTAGATAATGCTGCATCATGTCTGTACCACATTTTCTTTAGCCGTTCATCTGTTGATGGGCACCTAGGCTGGCTCCATACCTTACAAATTGTGTCGTAGTAAACCAGGTATACAGTTATCCCTGTATGTCATATGCTGACTTTAATTCCTTCTGGTATAACCAGGGAGTGGTACAATTGGATCAAATGGTAGCTCATCTTTAGTTTTCTCTTTTTCTATTTTTGTTCGTATTGCATCCTGAAGGCGGAGTCATAATCCCTTTTTTGGTGGTTGTTTCTTGGGTTTTTTTTTTGTTTTGGTTTTTGTTTTGTTTTTTTTTTTTTTTTTTTTTTTTTTTTGCAGAAGCAGGGATTGAATTTAGGACCTTGCACTTGCCAGGCAGGTGCTTATTCTACTGAGCTATCTTCCTGGCCCTGGCAGAGTCATAATCATTCGCTTATGCAACCACAGCTCATTTCTCCTTGCCCTTGCCCAGTGCCTCATAGCAGGCGCTCAGACAAGCTCATCTGCTTTCTACTGGGGAATCATGAGATGAACTATGTTAGGCCAATCTTTAGTTCATGTGTTAGTAACTTATTCCTTCCTCCAACTAAAATGGTTATGCTTACTTTTAGTACGTTTTGTGAAAAAGGGAAGTAGATAGGATAACACTGTGCATTGTTAAAAATTACTTATTTGGTGCAGAGTCTTGCTACATAGCTTGGACTCATAGTGAGCCTCCTGTCTCAACCTCCCCAGCGCTGGGATTGCAGGCATGTGCCGCCCCACTTGGGGTTCCAGGACCAGCACAGGGGCATGCGGTACCAGGAATCAAACCCAGGTCCTTGTGTTTGCCAGGCAGGTGCTCAGACTACACCGAGCTATCTCCCCAGCCCAAAGCTGTGAATTTTAAGCAGGCTAATTTTGTACTGGGTTTACTTCTTCTATTGCTCTAGCATTTGTGTTTTTAATTTTTATTTGACCAGACTTGATTTGAGCAAATATGATTGAAATTGTTGCAGAAAAGTTAATCCTAACTGATAGAATACCAAATAATTTGGGGTGCCTGGAACATCCTTAATGCACATTGGTGAATTACGTGTTTTGATTTTCAAAATCATTCAGTAAGACTCCACCCTGGTGGTTCTGTTAGTAGAAAACATTCCGCCTACTGAGTGCACAACCTTTTATTAGCAGATAATACTTGATGTCCATCTTGAGGGTCTTGGATTAGAACCTGAGAAGGGTCTCCTCTTTGACTCCTCAGTTGTTAACTTACATTGGAACTCAGACAGAGAAATGCTGTTTTAACTGATTATTCAGATTTGCTCAGGCCAACACTGTGATACTGGCTGTGTAGGTTTACATCTATATCTAAAATCAGTGTAATGTATCCGAAAGCTTTCATACTAACCTGAAGTTTTTGGTTTTTTTGTAGCAAAAATACTTTGATTCTGGGGATTACAACATGGCTAAGGCAAAGATGAAGAACAAGCAACTGCCTACTGCGACCCCAGATAAGACAGAGGTCACTGGTGACCACATTCCCACTCCACAGGACCTTCCACAACGGAAACCATCCCTTGTCACGAGCAAGCTGGCTGGCT